ATCATGAAACACACAGTGCACAATGGCTTTGCATTTTGTGTCAAGGGTATAATTCAGGGGTAAAGCTCGTCCCTATCATCCCTGCATCTCTGAAGCTCATCTCCAGATTCAAAACAAAATAAGACTTCATTTAATAGGTTGGCTTTTTGCAAAACTGTAAACAGTTATTGAAATTATTTTTGTTAATTTCAAGGTTAAAAATGATAGTCACTCACAGTTGGTGAAATTTATTATAACATGAAAAAGGGAAGGTTTAAATACATTCTATGATACTTTGAATTGATCTGAAAACAACTATTTGATGATTAATCTATCTAATAGTAATTGGAGACATTATATGTGATTGTTTGAAGCACAAATAACATAAAATAATCATGGATATAAATGTGCAGGTGTAAAATGCCAAAATGAGTCAGAGAAAGAGAAAACACTCCCACAATTTCTGGGACAATCACAGGAGAGTTTGAGAATAGCTGGGATCCAGGAAGTGCTGAGTCCCCTTGGTGTCCAGGCTGGGAAGTGAGTGGTATAAACTCTGAGCCAGGCAATGTAGACCCTACACTACTCAGGGTGCTGCAGCCACCTGCAGGTAAGTTATGTGATCATGATGCCGAGTACATGGAATTAGATGGCGTCCTACAACACAGTAACCCTCAGGCTTCAGACTTCAGAGACCACAGGATATGTTCAGAACCTGTTAAGAGTACTTAAAACAGTGCCTGAATTTCGCATGTGGTGTTAAACATCTCTCGTCTAGGTTCCCAGTCAGTGTTATGCTGTATATTTAGGTGTCTCTAGAGAATGAAGCACTTATCAGAGGTGCACTGCGGAGGCCACTGGATTACTGAGGTGTAGACCCGACTTCACATTAGGAGGTGGGGCCTGCTCGGATGAGGCGGATCACTAGGGCCATGGCCTGGAAGGTTTATCACCAGCTCAGCTCTCGCATGCACTCCGTGCTTCCTGAACACCAGGCTTTGAGCAGCTGCCCTGTGCCCTTCCCTCTGTCACACTGCCTTGCCCTGGAAACGTTCAAATATGGGCTGAAACCTCAACCAAGTGAGACAAAATAAGTCCCTCCTTCTTTAAGTTCAGGTGTTAGATATTTTTCTCCAGCAGCGTGAAAACAACTAAGACAGATTTTGGTACTGAGAGTGGGGTTTTTGCTGTGACTGCTACCTGACTTTGTGGTTCAGAACTGGTTCATGGGAGGAGTTGGGAGTGTTTTGTGAATATTAGCTAGAAACATCCTAAATGTGCAGAGCTTGATGCAAGACTTTGTTCCGAGCTCTGAAGGTCAGAATCCTGATAAAGAAAAGCCAGAAGGTGAAGACCAGGTTTTAGTAGGGAACAAGAACTCCACTGGCAGTTGGATTCTGGGCCAGGTGTATTGTGCTCTGGCAGAAAAATCTGCTTAAATTTTGCTCAAGTCCTGAAACTTTCTGAGAGTCTGAAATTAAGGATGGCAGACTAATTAATTTGGCAGAAGAAATTTTAAGTCAGCCTAACATTCAGCGTGTGGGATGAATACAGCTTGCTGGTTTTAGCCAGATTTATACTGCTGACTATCAGCAACATTAACCACAGGATTGTGAGAAAGTAAATGTCCTGAAAAATGAGCAGAGGGGAGGTGGATTATAAACCACGCATTTTGGATCAGGACAATAAGAAGTATTAGTAAAAGGCATTACAAGAACATGCAAGGCTCTACCTTGTGCAAGCTCAGTTACAAAGGTGGAAGAAGTTGGGCTGAGAAGAGAGACCCACAGCACATTTTTGGAGATGGAGAATGGTTGCTGAATTCAAGGGATTCAGTATATATTGTCAGTCATCTGTCACGGAGAGGCTGATACAGCCATAACTCAAGAGGAAGTAGCTCCTGCTTGAGCTGGAAGACCTTGGCATAATCAGTGTTGCTGGTCTCACAGGTGTGCAGAATGCAAGAGCTGTGGAGCCAGAGAGGCTTCCACCGGATTTCAAAAGGAGGGCTTGGAGTTCAGGCAGGGTGCCCTGACAGTGCAATGCATGAAGTTGAAGGTAAAGTTGAAAGTGCAGTGGAGACCTGTAAGGGTGAGAGAAGCCAGGACTGTGAGAAATCTGAGAACTGCAAATTGAACAAAACTAGCCTGGAGAGAAGCCATGAGATCTGCAGTCACCAGCTGCGACATAGGTGGTTCCCCACACCTTTGGAGACCACATCTCGGTGCCACAACTTTCCTGGATGCTGGAAATGGATCTACAGGGTTTACTCTTGGCCCTTTGAGTTCTCAGGGCTGTAATTCAGGAAAACTTGATGAGCAGTTATGTCCACCCCAGAGCCTTATCTCAGGTGTGAGTCCTTAACAGCCTGGTGCATCCGTCTGCTGTTTGACCCAGCTATTCTGTGGGTAAGAGCTTCATAGAGTGGATCATCAAATAAGGACCAATTTCCATACTTTTACTTCACAAAGTCTAGGCAAGGAGTGTCACTGGGACATGGAGGGTACATCTCCCACCCAGCTTCTCCTTTATTCCCTGTCTGTGTCCTGCATCTCCTGCCCTGAGCAGCTCTCCCCCGCCAGGCTCCTGGGCCACAGCATCCTGCCTTGGAGCCAGCAGACTACAGACTGAGTCATCTGCAGAGTAGGAGCTAAAATAGCCCTCTCCTCAAGTTGCGGGGGTTTGTCCCAGCAACAAAGGAAGTGACTAAAACAGGGAGTAGCTAAAATTTTTGGGTTTCTTTTTAGTAGTTTGTTTGTTTTGAGACAAGGCCTCACGATGTAGCCCAGGCTGGCTCTGATCTCTCCATAATCACCCTGCTTTGTCAGGCGCTGGGATTACAGACTCACACCACCATGCAGCTCAGTGTCTCACTTAGGAGTGGAGGTGGGCATGAAACATGAACTCATCACAGAATGAATAATGTGAAACAAGTACATAGGTGTGTGGGGTCAGGAATCGACTCAGGATTAGGTGTCCACAGTGTGTGATAATCCACTGAGGAAGATGATGAAAATAAGGAAGGTGATATTTCACAGGCAGGAAAATATCAAAAACAAGAGGTCTGATGATGTCTCTGGAGAAACAGAGACTGTGAGTGTGGAAGGTTCTGACTGAGGGTTCTGCAGAGCCCACACTGTGAATTCTCACTACATTTCTTTGTCTTGAACCTAGGGTTAGTGTTATGGTTATGTATGATGCATGAAGTTAGATGCCTTTCCTTAATACTGAAGACAGAAAGCAGATCAGAAAGGTCAGGGTTTAGAGGGCTAAGAGTTAATCTCACTGTGCTTGACTACAAACTAGCCTCAGTGTCAGAACTAAAATTACTGAGCTTTGATTTTTTCCCTCTAACTAAAG